GGGCTTACTCCCTTCTCAGTGCTCCGAGCTTGTTCCTGGCTCTTGTGCTCAGGGCTCACTCCTGGCTCTGTGCTCAGGGCTCACTCCCGGCTCTGCTCAGGGTTCACTCCCGGCTTTGTGCTCTGGTCTAACTCCTGGCTGTGCTCTGAGCTCACTCCCGGCTCTGGTTTCAGGACTCATTCCCTGCTCTGTGCTCAGGGCTCACTCCTGGCAGGGTTCATGGGATCATCTGCAGTTCCAGGGAAGAAACCAGGGTTGGCTGCATGCAGGCAAGGGCCATGAGCCTTGGATCATCTCTTCTGCCCCAGTTCTTAGCAGGGGAGCAGCAGCTTCAAGGCTGTGATTAGTTCGAGATTCCCAGGCAGTGAGCGAGGAGACTCCAGATTCTGGTTGCTGGCAGCCTAACCTCAGAGTTCAGCACTCAAAAAAGCTGCCTGCCACTGCTCAGGGCGACGGGTGTGTGTGTGTGTGTGTGTGTGTGTGTGTGTGTGTGTGTGTGTGTGCAGAAAAGCCAGCCGGAGCGTGGGGGGACTTTGCTCACCCTCTCCCGCCAGCTGGCAGGGCCCTCCCTCAGAGGTTATCTCTGAGGTCGGGTAAGCTGCAGGTCAGTGTGTCTGGGGCAGAGGGAGAGAAGGGGGCCAGACTACTTCCAGTCCTTCATGTCAAAACAGGCTGAACTGATGAGTGTCTGTATTAAGGACAGAGGGGCTGTCTGCCGTGGTCCCCAGGAGATGGCGGCCATGAGGGTTCTTCCCTTCTGGGGCATCAGCCCCTGAGAAAGTTCAGTGACAGATGTGTTGCAGCTGTGAGAGCAGTTCCAGGCCAATTCCGGGCCAATTCACATCAGAAACCAGCTCTGTCTACAGCTCCCACTGGACTTGGCGAGTTTTTGTTTGTCTATTTGTTTTTGTTTGAGGGTCACACCAGCAATGCTACTGAGAGTCTCTCGCAAGCTACCTGTGACGTATTCGATATGCCAAACACAGTAACAAGTCTCATGACGGAGACGTTACTGGGTCCGCTCGAGCAAATCGATGAACAACGGGAGGACCGTGATACCACTTGTGATTTATTATTATTATTATTTGCTTTTTGAGTCACACCCAGTGATGCTCAGGGGTTACTCCCGGCTCTGTGCTCAGGAATTACTCCTGGCAGTGCTTGGGGGATCATATGGGATGCCGGGGATCAAACCCAGGTCGGCCGCGTGCAAGGCAAACACCCTCCCTGCTGTACTATCGCTCTGGCCCCCATGGTGGGTTTTTAAAGGTCAGAGTTCAGGCACACAGACGGGCACCTTCTGGTAGCTGTGGCAGCCAGGGGGGCAGGAGTGGACAAATGGGTGACAAGTGAACCTGCCCTGTCACCCACAGCTATTTCTACTAGTCACTGTGTGGCGCTCATTAAGTGTGCAGAACACCCTCTGGTTTTTCCCCTCATTCATTTGAACAAGCACATTTGGGGGCACCTACTGTGTGCCACGCAGTAGGACGCATACAGGATGAGTACAGATATCCTTATAACGGGGGAGCAGGGTTTTGGGGCTGCACCCAGAGGTGCTCAGGCTCTGTGCTCAGAGATCATTTCTGGCAGTGCCTGGGGGACCATATGGAGTTCTGGGGATTGAGAGGGGCTTGGGCACATACCAGACAAGCACCTTCCCCATTGTCCTCTCTCTCTGGCCGCAAAACCATCCAAGATGGCAAGAAGCAGCTGGGCTGAGATGAAAGGAGATGCAGCATCCTACTTTATTCTCACTGCTGTTTGGTGGAGGAGGACTCAAACCAAGGACCCCTCCTGCCAATTCTCAGCTAGCTAATCTGGCTGGCAGTTCAATGCCAGGGCCCAGGGATGTGGTGTTGCCCAGACCTTTTGCTGCTGGACAAAGCAGGGCCACTCCAGCAGGGCTCAGGGGCCTCCAGTGCTGGGAAACCTTATGGTACTTGGAGTCGAAACTGGGTCAGGTGCATATACAACACGTGGTCCAGAGGCTGGAGCAATAGTACAGTGGGTAGGGTGCTTGCCTTGCACAAGGCCAGCCCGGGTTCAATTCCCCACATCCCAGATGGTCACCGAGCACCACCAGGAATGATTCCTGAGCACAGAGCCAGGAGTAAACCCTGAGCATCACTGGATGTGGCCCCCAAACAAACAAAAGTTAATACTCCAGATGACTAAGCCTTTTCCTGGTCCCTTCACCCCACATCTTGGGAATAAGACATCTTGGGTCCCAATGTCCTGATTTAAAGAGGGGCCACTCAGGGGGCCGGAGCGACAGTACAGCAGGAAGGGTGTTTGCCTTGCATGTGGCCAACCTGGGTTCAATCCCTGGCATCCCAATTGGTCCCTTGAATCCTGCCAGGAGTAATTCCTGAGTGCAGAGCCAGGAGTAACCCCTGAGCGTCTTCGGGTGTGACCAAGAAAAATAAATAAAGAGGGGCCACATGGATTCTGGGACTTGTGTGGATTGGGGGCTCCTGGAGTCTTCATACCTTTGATAGGTGTCTGTCTCTCCTGTGCTCCTTTTTTGGGTTCCCAGGCCTCACCCACATTCATTGCTGTTTTTTTTTTTTTTTTGACACCCAACGGTGCTCAGGGTTGCTCCTGGCTCTTCACTCAGACTCACTCCTGGCAGACTCAAAAGACCATATGAGGTGCCAGGAACTGAACCTGGGTATACCTTCTGCAAAATAAGCCCCCTCCTCACTGTATTATCCCTTGGCCCCTCCATGATTTTTGATTAGGCATTCATAACCTGGATGTGGGTGCCTTCTATGGGAGTGAAGGTGGGGGATAAGGTTTCTGATGCAGAAAGGTGAGGCTAACTCTTTCTTTCTTTTGCTTTTTGGGTGACACCCGGCAATGCACAGGGGTTACTCCCCATGCACTCAGGAATCACTCCTGGTGGTGCTCAGGGAACCATAAGGGATGCTGGGACTCGAACCCAGGTCGGCCACGTGCAAGACAAACGCCCTCCCCGCTGTGCTCTGGCTCCAGACCCGGTGAAACTAACTCTTCCTAACTCTTAGGAGCTAGCAGGGCCCAAACTGTAGAAGTCAGGTGACAAGCACTGAGCATTTACAAGCACAAGGTCTTACAAATATTCCCCGGAGCACTTCTATTCATCTGCACAAAGCTTTACAACCTCCCCCCACCCCTAGGGAGAACAGAAAGCATTTTTGCATTTGTATCATTTATGCTGAATGGAAAGGACTGTCTCTGACTGTTAGGTGTGACAGAAAACTGAAGCCTGGAAGTGAGTTCCCAACTGCAAGTAGAACTTCAAGCCACTGGATAAGAATCAATGAACGAAGGCGCCTGCCAGCTCTGGAGGTGATCAAGCCCTCTCAGCAAACCTCCATTCTGAAGTCTAGATTAGAACTGGGAACTCAGTCCTTCCAACTGGGATGTGGCTCGGTGGTAGTGGGTTTCTTTCTCAATGGGGGGGGAGGGGTGCTTGCTTTGAGAGCCACACCCTGCTGTGCCCAGGGCTTAGTTTTGGCGCTGCACTCAGGGATCACTCCGGGCAGTGCTTGGGGGACCATACGGGGTGCCTGGGATTGAATCCGAATTGCTTTGTGCAAGCTGTAGCCAAGTCTTGTGCGGCTAGCTCTCCTGACTGCCTGTCTCTCCCACCCAGACTTGAATTTGTCTGGCCCTGGGTTCTACCAAGACACTGCCAAGAAAAGGGGGATAAGAAAGACGGTGATATTTATCTCCTGCTGGAGATGTGTCACATTGACTTCCTTAGTTTTGGGTCCCAATGACCAATGCCTGATATGCGAGAAGCCCGGCTTGCTCCCGGGCGTGGATCACCAGGGTCCCCTGGTCAGAGCTGGTTCTGCAGCCACTCTGTCCTAGGTGAAGTTCCTTCCTGTCGAAAGGGCCACTTCGGGACACGCTTTGGGGCTGGGCCTTCCTCCTTTCCTAAGAAGTGAGAAGGGGGTCCTGAGAGAGAAACCCAGGGGTCGGACCCTTAGGCCGATTTCTGTATTTGCAAGCCGGCTGCTAAAGCCGGGAGGCGGGAAGGAGCTGGGGGCTGAGAGCCGGTGGGAGTCTCGGGGTGGGGGTGGGCGGAAAGTGTCTCCTCCGGTGGGGAGGGAAACAGTGGGGGCTGACTCGGGCTGGGATTTACATTTCTTTAAAGGTGATTCCTGCACCGACCAGACTTTGCACCTGAACGGGAGGCCTGGCCGGGTTCACTCTTGTGCAGATGAGGACGGCAGGGCCCCGGGAGCGGCTAGTGGGAAGTGCGAAGCTGACCGGGACTGCAGAGTGGGGAATGCGGGCAGCTCAGGCCCTGAAAGCATGTTCCTGAAATCTCTGGGCTCATGCGGGAAGTGGGTGGCTGGGTCACTGGTCAGCCGAGTGCAGGGATCCTGTTTCTGCTGAACTCTCTCTCCCCTTCCCTGCCTGACTGAGCAAGCAGTCCTGGCCCTTCCTGCCCACTGCCCAGGGGAACACCCAACATTGAGGCAAGTCCTGGGGAGCTGTACCTGCCATCCGCCTTCTTTATTGGGGCGAACCCTGGTCAGTGCCTAGGATTAGCTGTCCAGACTGGCCCTCCAGACTCCAGGCAGTGCCCAGAAGCCACCCAGACAGTGTCCAGGTCAGGCTAGGCTGCAGTACCCTGGGCCAGTGGGCGTCTGTGCCCCTTCTAAGATCCAGACTCTCCCTGTTGCTCCAGAAAGCCCTTTGGATCCTGGGATGGAGGCAGCGTCGATTCTGAGCTGGGAGTCGGGGGTCTCGAAATGGGCAGAGAGCATGCCAGGGCGCCCAGGTCAGGCCAAACAGAGCCGGTCCTATCGACTCCCCGGCCGGCGGGGGCTCCGGGACACTCGGCTCCCGCCTGCCCACTGTTGGGGGTCTCGGGGAGGCCACCCCCTGGGGGGATCATAAGAGATTCCAGCATCCACCCAGGGAGCCGGGCAGGGGCGGGGCGGGGCGCAGGTTGGGGATAAAAGAGGCGGAGGTGCGCCCCCCGGCCCGTCCAGCCCACCATGCACGCCCACCGCCTCCCCAGCCTCCTCCTGCACGCCTGCTGCGCGCTGGTCCACGCCGGCGCCGCCACGCTGGCCCCGGGGCCCCTCGAGACGCAGGGACAGCCGTCGGCGAACCCGCTGGCCTATATGCTGAGCCTGTACCGCGCCCCGCTCCCGCGGGCTGACATCGTCCGCAGCCTGCAAGCCCAAGGTAGGCGCCCCCCGCGCCCCGCACGCCCCTCGGGGCGCCCCACGCCCGAAGGGCACCCGGGCGCCCGGGATCTGCGTCTGGGCGGGCAGGACGCGGCACGGGAGGCCTGAGCCTGATGGCAGCGCTTATCCGGGTGGCCTAGGGAAGCCACCTGGGCGCCAAAGTTGGCACGTCTGTGCAGGAGTGTGTGTGTGTGTGTGTGTGTGTGTGTGTGTGTGTGTGTGTGTGTGTGTGTGTGTCACTGTCCTATATAATGCGTGGCAAGGCGTAGGTGAACACGCACACAAAGTAAAACTCAGCCCAACACTCGGTTCAGTCACAATCAAGACAGTTGCTGTCGCTAGCGCATTTTGTGCAATCTTTTCTTTGGGGGCACAGCGGGTCGTCCCTGGGTGCAACGTTGCAAATGTTTCCAGCTGGTCACCAATTTAGGACTCGGGTACCAAGCGTGTAGCACTGGGGTTCAGGATTCAGAGATCTGGAATTAGACGGGAGGTGCCCAGAAATGGGGCAGGGAGGCAGACCCCAGGCCAAGCAGGGTCGCCTAGATTTGGGGGCTGCGGGGGAAGTAGGGGTGTCAGGAGAGTATTTCCCTTGAGTACTGGCATCTGGGCAGTGGGCGAGGCAGGTAGGTTCTGCTCGGGGTCCCTTCCCCCTTCCCCCAGGCAAGTCACATCCGGAATCCTGAGTCGGGGAGCAGATCCCGGTCACCACTGCCTGCCCCTGTCTGCGGGGGCCAGACGGCCCTCCCGCGCCCAGCGTGCAATCCACATCAGCAGTCTGACCTCTCTGGCCACCCGCTGGCCCCCTGTGATCTGGGGTGGGGGGTGCAGGGGACGCCCGACAGCAGCTCCCAGCTCTCGGTCTGTCCTGTCTGGGGTCAAACCGTTGATGACCTTCTCCGGAAGGGTCATCAGGGGACCAGACTAGAGGAAGTGTAATGGGGGGAGCAGTTTAAATTACTGGACTTCCAGAAAGCTCCAGGCTGGAGGGTTGGGGCAGAAGGTTAGGGGTGTGCTCAGGACTTTGCCAGGTCACTCTCTTTTCCTAGAAAATTCCGGGAGGTTTGTGGCACTGATTAATCATAAGGCAGTTTGGAAATCAGGGTTCTGGTCCCTGAAATGTGGATTTCTTGCAGTTCTCCTGTGGAAGATCTGGGGCAGGCCAGGAAAATGCATAACAATATTTGCCACTGGGCTATTGTCCTGCGTAATGCGCCCTGGAGCGTTCTCTTTGTTCTTAACTGGCAGGGAGGGGCTACCTGGTGCCAGCACTGCTCTGCTCAGCTCCTAGTTCTGTGAGCCGCCGGACCTGGGGTTCGCTTCTGACCCCCTTGGGCCCCCCGTTATCTGAACCTTCCATTCATTTCCTCATGCAGTCGTAGGGGGTGGGAGCCAGGGTTCCAGGAGTGCTGGTTGGACCCTCAGCACTGGCTTGGGGTGATGGTCCTTCGGTTTATAGCACCCCCACCCCTCCCCACCACCCTCTGTCCAGCCCTTTCTGCCCCCCCTCCCCTTTTCTTGGCAGTGTCTTGGTAGAACCCAGGGCCAGACAAATTCAAGTCAAGTGCTGTGCCGCTGGGTGGGAGAGAAAGGACAGCCAGGAGAACTGTGTCAGGCTTGGATACAGACAGCTTGCACACAGCCATGCAGATTGAATCCCAGGCTCCCCTTATGGTCCCCCATGTGCCGAGTTGCGGAGGGGGGGACGGGAAATCTGGATTACACCAGGCCTGTGTGGCATTCTGCATTCAGGGCATGGAGGGGTCACATTTGTGGCCTGCGTGGAAGATGCTGACTTGGCTTCCCCCCACTACCAGGGTGAGCGTCCTTTCTGTTTGTTTTGGGGTCACAGACCACAGTGGTTTGTTCTTGGCTCAGGGGTTGTTGGCTCTTCACTCAGGAATCACTCCTGGTAGCTCATGGTGTGGGGAGAGACCGAATAAGCACCTTACCTGCTATTTCTCCAGTCCCCAATATATATATATATATATATATATATATATATATTTACAGAACCATGATTTACCTATTGATAGCTGAGTTTTAGGCTCAACAATACTATTTCAACACCAACCCTACCACCAGTGTTAACTCCCCCCCACTGTGTTCGCATGCTCCATCCCCAACCACCCCCCCACTTTGCCAGACACATTACAAAGTGTTTCCAAACATGTTTTCAGTGTAGTTGGATCTGTACCACTCTCTCACATCACTGGCATACCTCAAGTCCTGGCCCCCTGTTCACCCTTTACTTCCCTTTCTCATCTTTTTTTTTTGGGGGGGGTCACACCTGACATTGCACGGGGTTTACTCCTGGCTCATGCACTCAGGAATTACTCCTGGTGGTTCTCGGGGGACCATGTGGGATGCTGGGAATCAAACCTGGGTTGGCTGCGTGCAAGGCAAATGCCCTACCCGCTGTGCTACTGCTCCAGCCCCTCTCATCTTCTTTCTTTTTCCCTGCATGTCTTTCCTTCTCCTCCTTTAGCTCTGGGGTCAAGGGTGATCTGGAGTGAGTATTCTTAAAGTCTGTAAGTCTTCGGTGACCTTTCAAAATACTGGGCAGCCCCAGTGGCATGATAAGTCAGACTTAGGGAGTCCTGCGGTGTGTGTGGGGACAGGACCTATTTTCATCCTATAGCGCCCCACCCCCTGGGACTCTCCACTTCCTTCCCCTGCCCCGGTCCTTCACCCACTTCTACCCAAGGACCTGGCCAGGATTCAGGATTCAGAATTTGGAGGCGTGATGGAAGATATTGTCGTGACACGGCTGAGAAAGTCAGACTCTTACATCAGTATCTCAGGAAACTGCAGTCCCTCCCGACCCCCATCTCTCTCTTACAATGAGGGGAAACTGAGGTCCAAAGAAGGAAAGGAACCCACGTATTGGACAGCCTGAAGCAGATCCAACCATCCCCAGAGCCACCAAGCCCACCAAGTGCTTAGGTACTGAATGAACTGAGTGAACTGCCTTCCTCCAAGCCAGGCACAGCTCGCTCATTTTCTTTTTTGTTTGTTCGGTCTGGTTGTGTCAGGGGCCTCAAGCAGCAGTGCTCGGAACTTGCTCCTGGCTTTGTGGAGTGACAGAAGCCAGGAGACAGAACCTGGTTTGGGGTGACAGAACCCAGTTGGCTGCATGCAAAGCACATGCCCCACTCACTGTGCACTCGACCCCCTTCACACCTTTGTACCCCCTTTTGTAACCGCATTACTATTTCCATTGTAGCGGGAGGGCAAAACTCCAGAGGACTTTGGTTCCCTCCCATCTTGGTCTCTATTGGTGTTTGGGAATAGATGCAGTTGGTTGCGGCTCTCTCGGTCCCTGAACCACATCGGGGCCCCTAAAAGCCATTCATTTGTGTGTGTTTCTCTATTGTTGGGACCTCACCCTGCAGTGCTCGAGGCCTAGGCAGTGCCCGAGATCCAACCCAAGGCCCTCCTGCTTGAGCCACATTCCTGACCCCGAAGGTCACTTTTCCCTCCACCCTGTGTGCTATTCCCAAATCTCACACCCCTTTGTCCGACAGTGAAATAAAGCATCTGTCCACCCCCATTCCCTCCCTTGTCTGGACTTGGTGGTCTGGGTGGGAGAGAAAGGTTGGTGTGTGTGTGTGTGTGTGTGTGTGTGTGTGTGTGTGAGAGAGAGAGAGAGAGAGAGAGAGAGAGAGACAGAGAGAGATACAGAAAGAAAGAATGTGTGGTGTGTGAGGTGTGTGAGGGGGGAGTTTGTGTGTGTGCATGTGTGAGAGAGAGCCCGAGAGTGTATGTGTGGTGTGTGTGTGTGTGTGTGTGTGTGTGCGTGTGTGTGTGTGCGTGTGTGTGCGCATGCAGACATGGGGATGTGTGCCCAGGTATGTGGATTAGCCAGGATGGTAGGGCGAGCACCCCTCAGGACAGGGTCTGGGTGTTAATGTGCAAAGCTTGTACCATCATGCGTCTCTGTGTGTTGGTAGACCAGGACACGGCTAGGACATGGTCAGCCATCCTGGCTTCTGTGACCGGGGAGCACTGAGCTCTCGGGACCTCTCCTGGAAGCTGCGTCCATTTCCCTGGGTCTGAGCCGGGACATTCTTCTCAGAGGGAAGGGGCTGGCAGGGGCTACCTGCAGGCTCACGGGGGAGCAGAATCCCAGGACTTGGGGCAGAAAGTTCTGGGTTTTTGGAGCCAAAGAGACAGTACAGTGGGTGGGGCATTTGCCTTGCATGTGGCTGACCCAGAAGTCCAAGCCCCAACATCCATACAGCCCCCTGAGCACCACCAGGATTCCTGAATGCAGAGTCAGGAGTCATCCCTAAGCACTGCTGGTTGTGGTCCCCAAAACAAAACGAAACAACAGAAAGCCACCGGTTTGGCTTGAGCTGCATGAGGGGAGATGAGTGTCCCCAGCCCGTCCTGAACGTTCTGCACGGTTCCTTCCACGGGCTGACCGTTTGCAGCGGGAGTCAGCTGAGCAGAGGTCTGGCGCTGGGCTTTGCAGACGATCCAGATGCATCTTCAGCTCTGACCTCGGAATCACACCTTGGCTGGCTTCTTGCCACGCCTGGGCTTGCATTCTCCTCCCCTCTGACAAATGGACTCAGGGGCTAGAGCCGTAGTACCGCGGGGCAGGGTGCTTGCCTTGCACGTGGCCAACTCAGGTTCAGTCCATCTCAGCACCCCATCCGGTCCCCTGAGCCCCACCAGGAGTGATCCCTGAATGCAGAGGCAGGAGTGAGCCCTGAGCACCGCTGGGGGTGTCCCAAAACAGCCACAGCAAAGTCAAAACAGACTCCAGAAGCCTTCCGGCGGCGCTTAGGGTCAGGGTGCGAGGACCAGGTGTAAAGAAAGGGGCTCCAGGTGAGCGACGGTGGTGCCTGTCCCGCTAGCAGAGGCGGCAGGGCTGCACTGACCTGCCTCCTTCCTGTCTCTCCCCACCCAGATGTGCAGGTGGACGGGCAGCGCTGGGCCTTCGCCTTTGACTTCTCCTTCCTGAGCCAAGAGGAGGAGCTGGAGTGGGCCGAGCTCCGGCTGCAGCTGGCGTGGCCCCTCCCACTCCCGGCCCACGGTCCACTCTCCGTTGAGCTCTTCCACCAGCCCAAGCTGGCCGAGGGCCGGGCCCCTGCCGGCTGCCCGCGACGCCACCACATGGACCTGTTCACCGTCCCCCTGTCCCAGGTGACCTATGTCTCCAACAGCCTGGTCCTGGAGGTGACCAGGCCGCTCTCCAAGTGGCTGAAGCACCCGAGGGAGCTGGAGGCGCAGGTGTCCAGCCTGGCTGGAGAGTGTCGGCCACAGCCGCCCTCTCTTGCTGTCCCCAACGCCACGGCTGGTGATGTGGTCCTCTTGCTCTACTCCAACCTGTCCCCCGAGCAGAAGCGGCTGGGGAGCTCCACCCTGCTCTGGGAAGCCGAGAGCTCCTGGCGGGTCCAGGAGGGACAGCTGTCGCGGGAGAAGGGCCGGAGACAGCGGCGCTATCACCTGCCCGACAGGAGCCAGCTCTGTCGCAAGGTCAAGTTCCAGGTGGACTTCAACCTGATCGGCTGGGGGTCCTGGATCATCTACCCCAAGCAGTACAATGCCTATCGCTGCGAGGGCGAGTGCCCGAACCCTGTGGGGGAGGAGTTCCATCCCACCAACCACGCCTATATCCAGGTGGGTCCCCGGGGAATGGGCCCTTCTTCCTTTCATTATAGATTCTTATCCATCTATTTTTGGTTTGGGGGCCACACCCAGTGCTGCTCAGGGGTCATTCCTGGCTCTGCACTCAGGAATCATTCCTGTCAGTGTTCGTGGAATGCCGGGGGTCAAACCTGCATCGGCCGTGTGCAGGGCAAGCACCCTAACTGCTGTACTGTTGCTCTGGCCACTTTGTTTTTAAATTAATATTACTTTGCGGGAGGGATTTGGAGCACAAATAGCGGCCCTCCAAAAGTTAGGGGCTGGGCTGGAGTGATAGCACAGTGGGTAGGGCGTTTGCCTTGTACGCGGCCGACCCAGGTTCGATTCCCAGCATCCCATATGGTCCCTTGAGCACCGCCAGGGGTAATTCCTGAGTTCAGAGCCAGGAGTAAACCCCTGACCCCTGAGCATCGCCGGGTGTGACCCAAAAAGCAAAAAAAAAAAAAAAAACCAACAAAAGTTAAGGGCTACATCCGGCTTGGTGCTGGGAGGACCATCTGGTTCAGGGCCTCCAACGTCACAGTGTAATCTGTCCTCCTGAGCTGCCCTCCTGCCCCCTTCCTAGTCTTTTATCTAGTTAGGGGTGACTGGAAAGGTTTCCACTGCCCAGCCCGGATATTAAGGGTGGGAGAGAGGACAGCAGGGAAGGTGCTTGTCTTTCATGCACTGACCTGGGTTCTGTCCCAGCATGGTGTACAGTTCCCAGGGCACTGCCTGAAGCGATCCCTCAGCAAAGAGCCAGGAGTAAGCCCCTTGCCTTCCAAGGTGTGCTCCCCCAAACAAAAACAAACCAGATTAAAATCTTCTTGGTCTACAGACTATTTGCATGCAGGAAGCTTGGGTTTGATTTCTGACACTGCATGGCCCCCGGGCACTGGGAGGCCTAACACCCAACCAAACACATGCAAAACTTAAAATTCAAGTCAAGTCGACATATTGGCATGCCTAATTTCCTCTTTTTTTTTTTTTGCGTCACACCCGGCGTTGCACAGGGGTCACTCCTGGCTCTGCACTCAGGAATCATTCCTGGTGGTGCTCAGGGGATGCTGGGAATCGAACCTGGGTTGGCCGCATGCAAGGCAAACGCCCTACCCACTGTGCTATTGCTCCAGCCCCCAATTTCCTCTTATTTTTGTCCCCAGAAACTGGTTTTAACTCTTGGCAACTTTCCCTCCTTTCTCCCAAAATGATGCCGCCCTGCCTGCCCTGACCACTGAGCTGTCCTCTCCCTTGCAGAGTCTGCTGAAACGGTACCAGCCGCACCGAGTCCCGTCCACGTGCTGCGCGCCAGTGAAGACAAAGCCCCTGAGCATGCTGTATGTGGACAATGGCCGAGTCCTCCTTGACCACCACAAAGACATGATCGTGGAGGAATGTGGGTGTCTCTGAGGGGCGCCCGGAGGGGCTGGATTGGCCTGAGCCCTGGATGGGGCAGGAAGCCCCCAGAAGGCACGAGAACCATCTACTCCAAAGGAGAGACAAGGAGCGGGAGGCTTCCCTGTCCTCAGACCTGAGGAGGAAGGGCTGCACCCTGCCAGCGCCGGCGTGCGGAGTCTGGCTCAACACGGGTCACTGTCAGGCGCGAACACAGGGGGCCTGGAAGGGGGCCCCAGGGGTGCCACCCCCCTGAGCCCACCAGGTAGGTGACAATCAGGCACAAACGCTCTTTCCCTTCATGGCTGGTTGCGCCGGGGCACCGGGGGGCATCTGTGACCTTCTTTTGAGGTGAGGCGAGACGGTAGACTTCATAGGTCCTCAGCTACCCCAGGACTGAAGTCCAGGGTGGTCTTTGGCCATTGCCTCCCACACCAAGTAGCACTGTGTAGAGGTCAAGTCAGACTGGGGGTTCCTCATGGCCTCGGGCTGGGTGATCGGCGCCCCCATATCTTTTTGGCTGGCAGGTAACGACTGTTTCTCTTGTCCGGTGGGCCTCTGCCTACACGTGGTACGAACAATACCTTCCCTGCGCCTCCGCCTTGCCCGGCCGGTGCCCTTGAAGGGAGAGGCGGGAACGCACCCGAGGGTGGTCACGGCAGCCCATGGGAGCTGAGCCCTCGTGCGTTTGCGCTGTGCTTGGCAGACGCCGCCCGTGACTATTAAAGTCGTGACAGCTCACGTCCATCACAGTGTTGTGTCGTGAGCTCCCAAGGGCTGGCAAAGGCCCTGCTCTGGGTGGAGGCTTGTGTTTGGGTGACCGCTCGCTCAGCCACCAAGACCCCGTAACGCAGCGCTCAGCCTCCTGGGACATGCCAGCCTGGATCCTGAGTGTTCCTGCGGCCTGCTAGCCTGGAAGAGTTCGGAGTTTTCAACCATGGATGGACAGTCCAGTCTGCTGGGCCTTCTCCCCATCTTCCTCTAAACCTCGGAAAGCCTGCGAACCTCGGGCTCTGCCAGATCTCCTTTATTTATATATGATTTTGTTTTGGGGGCTTCTCCCAGCTCTGTGCTTGGGGGTCACTCGTGGAGTACGTTGGGGAACCAGGCGGTGTCAGGATTGAACCCAGACCATCTGCAGACAGCATGTGCTCAGCCCGTTGAACTGTCCCGAAAGGCTGAGCCTTCACGGCCTCTTCCTCGCCCACAGCTGAGGCTTTTAACCTTGGCACACCTGAGGACTGGAACTACCCACTTGACTAAGCACTGCCAGAGGTTACTGGTTTTGTTTCCTTTTTGGGGGGGCCTACACCTGCCAGTCCTCAGGGGGCCAACTGTATGCAGTGCTGGGATTCAAAGCATTATTGCCGCTCAGCTGTGTGCTTGGGTCTCAGTACTACTGGATATCAACCTTTTCCCGCCAGTGATGGGCAACTGAAACGCATCAACTTTATTAAAGGGCCCTGAGCTTGGCTGCAGTTTCGTGTCTTATATACTGTGTCCCTGACTACCGGAACTCCCACCGAAAATACCTCGGCTTAGCAGATGACCCTGTGGAACATTGCAGTAACAGGGATTTGGCAGGGCAGGGCAAGGGGTCTGCTCTGTTAGTATCCCCTCTCCTGTATTCCCAAGAACCCCACCGGTGGGTGCCCGAGATGTTGGGGACGAGATTCCAATCTGGAGAAAGCTCTGCAGGTTAGATGTGACTCAACTCAATCTTGGTTAAGTGGTGGGGGGTGGGGGGGTTGGCTAGGTGGGCTTGTAAAAAAAAAACCCAGTGGCCTGACTTGGCAGCAACACTGACCCAGGAGCAGGGGAATGGTTCAAGGGTTGGAGTTTCTACCTTGCATGTGGGGACCCCAGGTCCACTCCCCAGCACACAAGAAAGTGCTCTGAGCACCACTGGGTATGACCCAGGAAACAAGCAAAACGAGACCCAAAGTGCATTCAGTTTCCACTGTTTCCACTTCCCGAGAGGAAACTTCCTCTCCTAACCACACCTGAGTGAGAGCCGCAGCAAATCCTGCCTCTGACTGCACAGTCAGTGGTCTTGGTCCTGCTTCTTCTAAGGGTGACCCCAGTGAGGAGGAGCAAAGCCGAGAGCTGAGCTGTGGTCTTGGGCCCTAGGAGCACTGTGGTTTTGCTAGTGAGGCCCGCCTGGAATGCTCAGCCTTGCAGCGTGGGGCTGGTGTCGGGTCCTGTGCTGGCCCTGCACACTGCTGCAGAACTAGGGAACATGGACGCTACAAGCCAGGCTCTGGGACGGGGTGTCCTCCCCACAGTGGCACTGTTTAAACAGCATCTGCGGGGTTTCGTCCACGGAACTTCGAAGCCAGGATTTTGGAAGAACATCTTGGGATTCTCATCCCACCACCAAACGGACTGAAAATTCCAGCCCAGGGCTTTAAAGCACCACCCCCCACTACACCCCCCGCCCTAGACCCCTCCGCTATGGATGCCCAGGGTCACATTTCAGTGGTAGCACTGACCCAAACCTCATACAGGGGTCCGTGCCTTAAGACTTGACTTGTGCTGAACACACATGTGGCATGGTGCAGGGCATCACAGAGCACTGCTCTGGGATCTTCCTCGCATGCCAGCAAGGCAGGTACCTACCACTGAACGCCCCCCAGGTCCCTGGGGCAAGCTTCCCCTAACAACTGTGGCTTCACACTGGTCCTGTGTAACAAATTGTCCCGTGTAACCAAGGTGGCAGACCGGTGGTTTCAACCTTCTTTCCAAACCCATAGTCAGCAGTGGCCTCTGGCCTTACGGTCCGATGGTTAAATGCTGCCCTCTGGGGCCGGCTCAATAGTACAGCTGGACAGGGTGCTTGGCCCCCACGTGGCTGAGGAGGGCCTGATCCTCTGTACCCCATAGTGTCCCCAAGACCCAGCAGGAGTAATTCCTGAGCATAAAGCCAGGAGGCAGCCTGAGTGACGCTGGGTGTGGCCCCCAAACCAAAGAAGTAATGCTCCCCTAGACTCAGCAGTGCCTGCTCTGCTCTGCCGTCCGGGGCCCGGATGACGGCTGCTCGTGGAGTGTTCACAGTCAGCTGTTGGTCTGACTCAGGGCAGATTCTCCCACGGCGGGTTCCGGTCACAGCAGACCCTCACTACAGGAAGCCCCCCTGGCTCTCTGATGGGGGTTCAGGGCCTGGAGTTCAGCAGCAGGGTGAGCTGAGATTTTTGGGGTCTAATCTACCAAAAATGAGATGTAGTTAACTGGTTCCGCCATTGCTTTAATTTTTGGTCACATCTTCTGGCAGTGCTGGGGCAGGGGGGTGGGAGGGCACAGTCCTGCCTGCAATCAGATGTCTTTCAAATTTAATATCCTCCAGCCTTCGGGGGGCTGAGGAAAGAATGTCAGTCTTTGGGTCACACCCAGTGACACTCAGGGGTCACTCCTGGCTCTGCACTCAGGAATTACTCCTGGCGGTGCTTTGGGGACCATATGGGATGCCGGGGATCGAACCCAGGTTGTACAAGGCAAATGTCCTCCCTCTCCCCACTGTACTATCACTGCCCCAGGATGTCAAGTCTTTCAAAGTGACTTACCTCCCCCTTCCTTAGAGACCCCGGGTTCAAGCCTAGCCCTATCTGCTTTCTTAAGAGTCGTGAGACCTGGTGAGGCGTGGTGGCTCCCGGGCAGCACGGCTGGGGTTCAGGCCTGCCTCACCCCACGCCACTGCCCTGCCCCGGACACTGAGCTGACGGCAAACCCTCCCAAGCCCAGTTTTACTGCATGGGCTGCGACTGACGACACCCAAAACACCAAGGATTCTCAGCTCTGAACACAGGGCTCTAAATTCACAGCAAGGAAGCACACAGAGTAAAGCCGCGTGTATCCTTTGGTTGTTCTGGTGGGGACTTTAAGGTCATAAACGGTGAGGATCAAACCCAAGGAATGCAAAATGGACACTGGGGCTGGTTATGCGCACCCATCATGAACCCACCACAAATGCGTGCTGTTCGGGGCTGGAGAGAGAGCGCAGCGGGTAGGGTGTCTGCCTTGCATGCGGCCGACCCGGGTTTGATTCCCAGCATCCCATGTGGTCCACTGAGCACCACCAGGAGTGACTCCTGAGGCATGCATGCTACCAGGAGGCTGACTGAAGGCCTAAAGCCTGACTTGCTCATCGATGCTCAGGAGTCGCAAGGTCCCCCAGCCCTGAGCCTGAGAAGTCTGGTTTTGGGTGTGGTCCAAAACCAGGAAAACAAAATAACCCAGTTGTGTGTGCTCCCCTGAGCACCCCTGGGCCCAGCAAGCCGCCCCCTCTCCCCCCGTGCAGGGCTGCGCTCCACCAAGGATGGAGAACCCAGATGAAGAGGCCAATGGCGTCTGCTCACCGCCCCACAGGATCCCAAAAGAGGGTGTTTTCTGATTTCACCTGAACCTCTCCCAGAAATTCAGACAGCCAGTTTTACTCAAGATCTTTATTTGAGTTATTCACTGTTAACAGCAGCCATTGGTGAGATTTGTTGTTCTTTTTCCTAGTATGCAAAAAAAAACACTTGCTGGTCTGTGAGGACAGTTACAAAAATCACTCAGCAACACACACATCACGGAATCCCGGGGACTGCCTCAGGATGCCTGGTCCCTGCTCTCCACCGGGCCAGCACCCTGGCAGGGGTCAGGGGGCCAGCCCCCATCAGGGGAGCGGAAGGGAGGCCCCACTTTCCCGTCTGGACGAATGGAACCGGCAGCCAGTGGCATTACGACAAAGGAAGGGCAATTTGAAATACACAAAATATCTGAAAGATGCTTAAAATGGACACCAAGGGTGTTCTCTGTGCTGTCCAAGACGCTTGTTTCCGGCCTGCCGGGGGCAGCAGTGGGCTCCGTCCTTAGACGGAGGGAAGGCACGGGCTACGGCTACTCAGCGACGTGGACAGACACCAGCTCTGCTTGGTGGCACAGACGCACCCTGTCTCCGGCGTCCATGCCCCCGCCCTATCCCACTGGGCTTCAAGTAAAAATCACCCTTGCTCAGGGCTGGTTTTTTTTTTTTCCCCTTTCTTACAATTTCTAAAACAGATTGACACAGAGAGGAAGAGGATACACACTGGGGCAAGTACGAATATTCTGAGCTAGATTCATGGGCTCCCCCAGATTTGAGGTTTTTGAGGGATTTTGGTTTCAAGCACTGGCAAGAGCTCCCTGGAAAAGGTCCCTGTGGCCAAATGATTATCAAGCATCGCGGCATCTCCGCGCCGGGAAGGGGGCCTTGGCTGGGGGGCCTTTCCCAGAGGCATCCACGGTGGTCGGCCAGGACCCAGGCACATTGCACACCGACACCCGGAGTCCCTGTCAGACTTATCTATCCTAAACCTACGTGTTCCCAAGTCACCGACTCCCAGGCCAGCCCAGAGAAAGATGCCGACTCCCTCCAGAGGGCGGCCAGGATGGGGACCCAAGAAGAGTGAGGGGAGCGGCCCAGCACCACCCAGCCTCAGAGTCCTCAGAGAGGGATGGAACAGAAAACAGTGGAACAGGCAAGGCCCCTCTGGAATGAGCACTCTGAAGAGAGCTGGAGGTCCCAGCCCGCCTCCCAAGAGATGCAAGGCAGCACGAGGTGGGGCTGTCCTCTTTGGAAAGAAAACGATCCTTCCAAAGGGGTTTCTTGTTTTTGCTTTGGAAGTCACACTACGTGCTCAGCCCTTGAAGCCCTTTCTCTGGTCCAGAAACAGGGTTTCTCTAAACCAGCACTCCCCACTTGGCAGATGTCAGGAGTCAGACTGGGTTCTGCAGGTAAAGCGGGCCGTGAGCACGGCGCCTCGACCCCTCAGAGAGGCTGGGCCAGCTGAAGGGGAAGGCGGAGGGGCCTGTCTCCAGGGCACTGCTGCTGACACCAGCCCCTTCCACTAGTGGCCTTGGTTCCCAGCAGGCAACACTACACACTCACTAACCTGTGAACTCAGAGGGATGAAACCCACATCTTCAGGGGAGCTGCAATTCAAGGTGGAGATTGCACAACTGGGAGATAATAAGTGAGAATCCCCCAGGGACAGCAACCCAGAGGCAGCAGGCTAATGTCCAGGCATCACTTTCCTCTCAAAAGCTGAAGGCCAACTGCGATTCCCCCAAGGGCACTGGAAGCCCAGTCCCCTGCTTCTGCTCCATCGGCAGGCCCACTCCAAAGCAAGCAGGGGTAGAGAGGACACTGGGCAGCGGCCGCGCCCAAGACAGACCGGACCTGCACCTCAACAATGCCTGGAACATCTCCCAAAACTTGGATGGGTCTGGGCAGCCGAAACCCAATCACCAAGAACATGCTGAACTTACAGACCTCAGCGAAGTTCTCTGGGGGATACTGGGGCAGATGCTCTGAGAACACACCCCCAGGACAGGCAAGGCTGACCTGCACTCTGGGCTCAACGGTGCCATCAGGCAATCACCTGCTGCCTTCTTCCGTCTCTCTTCTTGGCTCTGCTCTGGGGAAGCCACTCCTGGGGTGGGGTGGGGGCGGGGTTGCATGGGACTGCATGTACCGGGCCAGCTACATACAGGGCAAACGCTTCCCCACTGTACTCTCCGGCCCCCCAAAAACATGATTTCTAATCCATGGACATTTGGTACTAAGCAGTGGCTGGGAGGGGCGCTGGCTCCATCCCTGAACGGCCAGCTCAGTAACCGCATATCTAAGTCACGTTTGCTCCCCTTGTTGGACAACGCTGACCCCAACTAGGTAAGCTCAGCTCCCGGGACCCCAGCTCCAGTTCCCTTTCATCGTTAATTCAGGGCTGAGGGGGCAACAGGTTAATGGAGACAGTGAGACACATCTGAGCTACGGGCAGTCAGGAGGACAGACAGACGTTTCTGGAAGTTGCCGCCTGGCAACACCAGAAGCCACGAGCAGCTTCAGGAGGAGACGGCGTCCGTGTGCTCCCCCAATCTGGTGAGGTCTCGGGGTTGTTCTCAGTAGCCACACACATTATCTCTGCACGGTATCCTCTCCTTCGAACCAGCCCCCTGTAGCGTGGGACCCTTCTCTGCCGGGGTGGGAAGGCTTAGGGCAGTGCCCGCAGTTCTAACGCTGCTTCAAGGGTCGGTGCAGCTGGGCATGCTGCCTGGGTGGCTGTAACTAAGGAAGAGGAGCTGGGATGGCTTGTGCCTTCAGAGCCTGTCGGGGGCGAGCAGAGCCAAAGTGTCCTCCCCATTCCTCTATTCACCTGTCTCTTGCGCAGGGGGACCAGCTGCCGCGGTGTCAACCAGCCCCAGAGAGAAACCCACACGGGGAGAAACTGAGGCTTCTTGGCAAGAGCCGCGGAGAGCTTGGAAGTGGATTCTCCAGCCCCCACCTCCTCACCCCTCCCCCACTAAGGCAGACCCCCTGCCTCAGTGGGTCTCACCCCACGAAGCTGAGCTGGTTCCAAGTGGCACCAGGCCGACAGACAACTCTGGCACTGCGGGAGATCGAGAGACATCCACTTCACGGCTACAGGCAATACAGGCAGGACGACAAACCCTCGGGGGCACTAGGAGTTGCCTTTTTTTTTCTTTGCTTTTTGGGTCACACCTAGTGATGCAGTTACTCCTGGTTCAGGCACTCAGGTATCACTCCTGGCGGTGCTCGGGGGACCCTATGGGATGCTGGGAATCGAACCCGGGTTGGCCACGTGCAAGGCAAACGCCCTCCCCGCTGTGCTATAGTTCCGGCCCCTAGGAGTTGCCTTTCTCACCCTGTGCTCCTGCGGAGAAGCAACTGAAATGGACCCTGAGGAAGCAGTGAGCTGAGAAGGCAGGCCCACGGCAATGCGTGTCCCTGCCAGGACCGCTGGGCTCTGCCGGGGGAAGGGACCCTCGAGAAGCTGGACTGTGCCGGAAGAACAGAACGTGGTCTCCTCACTGAGAAGAAAGCACAGGTGAACGCACCAACGTCCAAGAATGGTCTCATTCTACAACGGAACGGTGAAGCTGCTCCCCGCCCAAGACAGATCATCTCCGCACTTCAGTTTTATCTGGGGGTTTTCTTTCAAACAACCAGAAGGCATTCGGTGAATTCTGGCCTGCCCTGAAAACAATCCTCCTGGGCCACCCCCAGCAGAACCGCGCCGGCCTTACAGTAAGGAGCAGGGATGGGTAACGCTGCGTGACAGTGGACGGGGCCCAGGAAAAACAAGAAACGTGGCCTGACTCGAGGAACCCCAGACAGACTCCAAAAAGGATGACGTGCCGCGCTCTCACGTGAGACGGCACGTTCCCAACTCCTTCCCCAGTGGCTGGTGAGCCCGTCCCAGTTCTCCCGTTTGGTGACAGAGACCCAGAGGACCCATGGTCATGTGCTGTCAGAGCTGGGGGCAGGTGCACAGGGGGCCAAGGACAGGCTGCAAGGGAGGGAACAAACACAAGCTTCAGTCCCGGAGACTCGCGCCCCGACAGGCATGTCCCAAGCACGGTTCTTAACGCGGGGCACAGCGCAACCAAAGTTCCCCCAAGGGCCTGTCAGCAGAATGTGGAGTTTCGTGAAAATCAGAACAGGGAGATGCTGAAACAACCAAATATTTTCTGATCATCGACTCTTGAAGTGGAAGGTGTCCCTACACCACTGGCGACCCAGTGTATTCCTGAGACACGGACCACCACGGACGGTGTCCTGCTCCCACCATTCATATTCTGTAGCAGGAAACGGGACGACGTTCCTCGAACATCCTTCCTCTCTTCACAAACAGGATCTTCTCAGAGTTCCAAAGATACACCAACCGCTTTCTTACTGGGCCAACTGGCTGTCACTCTCACCCCAGAAATCTGATCTCCTGGAAGCGGCCAGGGCACCGAATCCAGCCAGCAGCACCCTGACATCCTCTGGGGGGCGGTTTCTCCTCTTTAAGTCTGTGAGGGGGTCGCGCACCAGCCAACCATCACAGGAGGGGGCAGGGAAAGAACGAGGCTTTCATCAATGACCCACAGCAAGGCAGAATGGTCCAGTTTTATAAACCACCCAGGACAAAGTCCAAACATGCACACACCCGCGACCAGGAGGGAGACAGTGCTCGTGAGGGGCTCGGGGAACACAGGAGGGGGACACAGAACAGCAGACTGGCCTGCGGACGTGGCCTGCCTCCCTGACACAGGAAGACGTGGGAGTAAAAAGTTGCCGCTCAAAGTCGTGCGGAAAGCATATCGAAAAATAGGTCTGTAGTCATCTTAAAAATAAAAGGCCGTTCCTCGGCTTGGAGGAGTGGCAGATATTATCAGATACCAACACCTGAGGTATCTTTGATGTATATATGAAAAATGGCCTGGCAGAAAACAAGGAAGGCCGGGGGGGGGGGGGCAGGGAGGTTCAGAGGACAGAAAAGGCAGGAAAAGTGGGAGAACTTTTCTCTCTCCTTTTTTAAAAAAGCCCGTGCTTATCCAACTCAGCAGCCAAACAAAGCAAGTCCACACAGGGGGGAAAAAAAAAAAGTTCAGTTCAAAAATTCTTAAAGTCAGCTTTAAACTCATATAGACCGCAATCTGGGATAGCGAACGTCCAAAGCTCATTGGACTGAAAAATGACTGCAGAGACTGGGCGTGCCAGCGACTCGGTCTCTCCCAGGGCTCCCCTCGGCCACTCTGACAGGAGCCTGTAGGTCAGGCCTCCCCCCAGAGTGCTTCCACGGGAATGAGCAGGCTCTGGGCACAGGTGAGCCCACCTGGGCAGCTGAGGGCTGAAAGCAGCTGGGAACGGAGGGAGCACAGAGACCGGCGCTCTGCCAGGTACTGAGTGCGTTCTGGTACTGATGCGCTCGTTAAGGACTGGGAAGAGCAGTCCAAGAGCCCAAGGCAAAGACACTGGTCCCAAGTCCACCTCTAGACAGCGTCACAGGGAGCCACGGGGCGTGCTGTCACCAGGGGGAAAGCACCTCTCTTCCTGTGTCCAGCACCTCCGGTACATCAGGAGACTCGTGCAAACCCAGAGGCGGCCGGGAGGCAGAGGACAGTGGGGAGAGAACACAAACACCGAACCCACCGGCCTCTGTCCTGCCCCTCCAGACAGTCCAGGCAGCAGACGCTGGGCGGGTCAGTCATGAATTCATTTGGGATTCAAAAAAAAAAAAAGCTTGTCATCAAATGATGCTTCTCATAAAAAGAACGAGGAGAAACATGCTTCTCAGAGGGGATGGGCAGAACTGAACTGTTCCCACTGCGGGCTGCTCGGTTCTTCGGAACGGGCTGAGGGTCTTCCACCCGAGCAAACTGGGAAGGGAAGCAGGGAAGAGGGGCAGGGAGGGGTCGGCTGAAGCTCATCCTCGCACGGTTTGGCACTGGAGGAGGAGGAGGAGGAGGAGGAGGGGGCCGCGGGGAGGACGGCTGGCACTGCTCTGTGCTCCCCGCGAGCCGGAGGCCAGGGCAGGCTCACGCAGGTGCTGCTGCTGCTCTCCTGCCGAGACGTGCAGGCCAGTCAGATGTCCATCTCGAACTGAGCGTCATCCCCTAGAACGAAGCAACGGAAAGGGTCAGCTCAGAGGGTCGGGCCCCAGCCACTCTGCCTCTGCAGGGAGAGGGTCCAAACAGAACGCCAACTGCCGCCTTCTGCCTGGCGCTGGCAAAGTCTTCTTTCTCGGGAAGGTCTTTTTATTAAGCGTGTTCTGCACTTTTCATTAAGCTGGTCTTAATCGCCCAGGCGGGCACAGCAGTCAAGTCGCCACGGCAGGAGCATCTGGGGGAACGGAGACCATGGAAGCCTCCCCAGTGTCCCGGCTCCCCTGGTGACAAGCTCGCCTGCTGCCCATCAGGTCAGCACACCCTGAGACGCTGGGCTCGGGCCTGGCTCTGACCAACATGCTGTCCGTTTGAAACTCCGAGGGCCAGAGCGTCCGCGCCTGCCCGGGTGCAACCCCAGCATCCCAGATGGTCCCTGGAGCCCCGCCAGGAGTTAGGTCTGAGTGCAGAGCCACCGATATGCCCTGAGAATAGCCAAAATGTAAACAAGTGAAAACTCACTTGGAGGGGCGGGAGAGATAGGACAGCAGATAAGGCACTTGCTTTGTACCTGGGCAAGGGTAGAGCACGAAGCCAAGGAGCAGGCCACTTCCATCTCCCCCTCTGCTTCTGGGACAGAGCACTCTTCGCAAAAGTGTGTGTGAACGGCGCAGTGCTCAGTGAACAACCGTAGGCCATCCCAGAAAACAAGGGGGAAATCCGTAAAAGTGACATTCTTCTTTTTGGGGGGGAGCGCCACACCCAGCGGTGCTCAGGGCTTACTCCTGGCTCTGTGCTCAGGGATCACCCCTGGCATGGCTCCGGGGACCATATGGGGTGCAGTGATTGAACTTGGGTTAGCCGTGGGCAAGGCAAGCGCCTTACCTGCTGGACTGTTGCTCCAGTCCAGTCCTCACTCCCTGATTTTGTATTTCCCCCCACACCTACTAGATTTGTTTACAATCTAGACCTCAGGTGTTTCTAGATCATTCCTTAGTGAAGGAGTTGTGGAAGGAGGGAAGCTTACAAGCATAGAAACGTCACTTATAACAGAAACATCGGCATTTTCAACCCACAATCCTCCCTAACCGCCCCCGCCGCCCACCTCCTGATGCCCAATACCAACACTCTCTTACCAACTGCATGCTTCCTGTCATGATTGTTCAAGTTGTTCAAATTGTTTACTTCTACTTTGGAGTCCTCGATTAAGGTGCCAGGGCTAGTGACTCCCGGGATATTGGGCAGGTGGCAGGGCGGAGTCTGAGCCATCGGAGAATTGCGACGATCCAGAAGAAACTTGCGGTCATAAATGATCCGGGTGCCTGGAAAAGAGAGTAGGAAGAGTTTTCCACAGCCAGCCCTACCCGTGATTTCACTGAATCCCACCTGAGGGCCAGAGACGTGGCTCAGGGGCCGAGCTGGTCTCTTGCATGTGCGAGGCCCTGGGCTCGGTGCTTGGCACCACAGAAAGAAACGCAAATCAACCAATGCCATTTGCTCCTACGCCATGAATTACAGTTCAATGAAAACACCAATGCGCCTACTCCCCTTCTGGGGCCAGGCCTCTCCGTCATCTGAAACACCTCTTCCTCTTCTACTGGCAAAACTTGTTCATGCATTAAGTTTCAGCTCCAACACCACTTCCCTTAAACCATACTAAAAAAAAAAACCAAAAAACAAAAAACCTGCTCCCAAAATCCCCTCAACAAACCTCACTACCCTCCTCCCACACCTTACTCAAAACGAACCGTTATTACAGGGCTCCACTGTCTGGACGTTTCTCTCTAGGGACTGCGTTTTCTCTTTTTGGGTTTTCATGTCATACTCAGTGGTGCTCAGGGCTGACTCTGCTGGCTCTGCTCAGGAGAAGTATGTGTACAGAGTGCCCGGTTCTGGGTGGGGGGTGAGCTGTGTGCAAGACAGCTACCTCAAGCCCTGTCCTGTGCTCCAGCCCCCAGACTGAGTTTAAGCCAGGACTGTGCCCCACCCCCACCCCGGTCTAGGTCCTACCTAACACTACACAGGTCCTTCACGAACAGCTGACAGACTTCTTGGGAGAAGCCTCCCGCTGGAGCACAGGCTCTGCAGGCAGGAGGCCCAGGCTCACTCTCCAGCACTGTCATGGTCCAAACGCAAACCAAGGGGCTGGAGCAATAGCACAGCGGCTAGGGCGTTTGCCTTGCATGCAGCCGACCCGGGTTCGATTCCCAGCATCTCATGAGCACCGCCAGGAGTAACTCCTGAGTACAGAGCCAGGAGTAACCCCTGTGCATAGCCAGGTGTGACCCAAAAAGCAAAAAAATAAATAAATAAATAAAAAATAAATAAAATAAACAAACCCAAAAGCAAACCAAAAAAAAATCCACCTCAGGAACAGTTCAGAGAACCCGGCTGATATTCCTTCTGTTATCTTTCCAAGATACGAATGGCTATTGGAAAAAAAAATTAAAAACAAACAAACCCAACTTAAACCTCAGCAAAAGGGGCCAAGGGTACAGGAATAGTAGGCAGGGCATTTACCCTACCCGTGGCCAAGCCAGGTTCTGCCCCCAGCACTCCCACAGGAGTGATACCTGAGCACGCTGAGGTGTGGCCCCACCAGCCCCTTACATGAAGGTGACGCTGAGGCTGCCTTCATGCAGCGGGACACTGGCGCCCCGCGGCTTCCAGGCACCAGAGAGAATGCAGCAGGCACTCAGACATTCTGCAGGAAAGGGGGGGGGGGGGGAGGGAGTGGCAGCGCCTCCCAACTTCGTCACAAAAGGAAGCAGGAAAGCAGGCAGAGTTCCACAAATAAAACGTGAGGGCTAGACACAGCATGGAGAATCTGCCACGTGAGAGGCTCCTGGCACAGAAGCGTTTCTGCGGGATCCGGAGCAGGCTCGCCCAGCAGGCTGACAAGCTGTGCCTGCCAGGGGTCCCAAAACAAAAGCACGACTATGAAAGGAGCAGGCTTGAGTGTTCCCAAAAGGGGTGGGGGGGACAATGAGGCCAAAAAGATCATCTAAGCAAATCACACCAACTCTAGGTTCAATCACTGGCAAATGAGCTACACAGAGTTTTCTTGCTACTGAACTCCGAGGTGCTGGTTTCCTGTTGACGAGATGCCGTCTCATCCTGGAAGAACGCTCAGAAAGGCATCGACTAGCACAAAGGCATTCCACGCAAATCCTTCAAGGCCTTTAAGACAACTGGAAAGAGAGCAATTTTTGGTTTACATTCTTTCTTTCTGCTGCCACTACGGCTACAGATGGGACCACGTTCAGTTTATGAGAAAGGAAAACAAAGTATCTGGCTCTCAACTCGCTCACAGCAGACTACCAGGACACTCTGTGCCACCCTTGGAATCCAGTTCTATCTTTTCTTCAGGGGCTGAAGAAATAGTACAGGGGGTTAAGAAGGTGCAGGTGGGGGCTGGAGAGATAGCCCAGCGGGTAGGGCGTTTGCCTTGCACGCGGCCGACCCGGGTTCGATTCCCAGCATCCCCTATGGGCCCCTGCGCACCGCCAGGAGTAACTCCTGAGTGCAGAGCCAGGAGTAAGCCCTGTGCATCACCGGGTGTGACCCAAAAAGAAAAAAAAAAGTGCAGGTGAACTACCTGGTTTGATCCTAGAGTCCCTCAAACTCCCCGGGGGTCACTCCTGAGCACAGAGCTAGGACCAGCCCCTGAGCACTGTGGGATGAGACGCCCACCCCAAAAAAACCCCTGCGGGATCTTTTAGGTTTTGGGGCCAACCTTGGTGATCTCAGGGGATAGAAGCCAAATCGCCCATGAGCAAGGCCATTATGTGCCCTACCCACTCTACTACCTCTCTGGCCCCGAAACATCTACTTTGGAAAGTTGTGGATATCTTTGTCAGAATGACCAAAGGTAACTGTTTAGAAATATTCTAAGGGAAAGAAAGAACCTTAAAATGCATTTTTTTCCCTTTTTGGGTCACACCCGGCAATGCACAGGGGTTGCTCCTGGCTCTGCACTCAGAAATCACCCCTGGCGGTGCTCAGGGGACCATATGGAATGCTGGGATTCGAACCGGGGTTGGCCTTGTGCAAGGCAAATGCCCTACCTGCTGTGCTATCACTCCAGTCCCCTAAAATGCATTTTTAAAAAGCTCCCAGGTCACTGTTTTATTCATGAAAGAACACAACATCACCTTTTACCAAAACCCTAGAAGAGTGATGGGTTATCTGGCACTGCTATAAACTGTCACATACAGCATGACTTATGGTCACGGGTTCAGCCTCCCAAGTTGGGCTCTGTGAACTCCCTGCACCAAGGTGATTTCTGGCTCCACGACAGCCAGGCCTGTGATATAAGCCGCAGTCACCACACCCACAACATCAACAACGGTGGGGGATTCAAAGAAAAACTACAAAAGCTGCCTTCTGAGATGTGATGGCTTTTGGAAGCACCAGAGAAGGAGGGATGGGGGTTTGGAGAACCAAGCACGTGACGAGAGTGGACGTCAGGCCCTCTCTCTGTGGCTGGACCCCAACTCCAGACCTGGGCAAGGGAAGAGGATTCTGGAGTCTGACCCGTCAGGCCTAAACAACAAGGAGGGCCAGAGAGACGCACAGGAAGGAGTTAAGGTGCTTGCCTTGAGCACAGCTGACCCCAGATCCCTCCAGATCCCAGCACCACCAGAAGCAACCCCGAGGCACAGAGCCAGGCGCAGAGCCCCCACCTGGCCCCATAGGACGTGGTTCCAAAACAGAAAAATCCATCGACATTCACATGGAAACACTTTCCTTCCGGTGAGTCTATTTCCTTCACTCTGAGAACACTGGGAGTCAGAGTGGGCAGGGCGTTTTGCTGTGCCTTGCTATAGGTTCTACCCTCGAGTGCAAAAACAGAAATAAATACATATACAGAGAAAGTAATCATAACTGTTTTTATACCAGGAGGCTATAAAGATTAGAGTACCATACAGTTCTCAATGTTTACAATCAAAATACAATAAAACCCAAAGCGGACAGTAGGGAGTTGAAGCACGTCCCTTGCATGCGGCTGACGCTGGTTCTACCCCCCAGTACTAGATGGTGCCCTGAGCACAGCCAAGAACCATTCCGAAGCATCTCTGTGGTTGACTTCCTCCGCACTGCGCCCCACCCATCTCCCCCCAAAAAATCCAAAACAAAGAGTCACTGTTAAGAAACTGAATAAAGTCTGATATTGTAAAATGAAGGAAGTAGAGAGTCAACAGGCAGACCACACTTTTTTGTATGTTTTTGGTTTTGCACCATACCCAGCAGTGCTCAGGGCTCATTTCTGGCTTTGCATTCGGGGGGGTCAGACCTGGTGGTGCTGAGGAGGATAAGACCCAAGTTGGCTGTGAGCAAGGCACGTGCCTTAACCTTTGTACTCTCTGGCCCAATTCACTGTTTTGGGAGTCCCATTTTTCGGATGCTTGGGAGTACTCTGTGCTTGGGAGCTGCTTCTGGTGGTGTTTAAGGGACATGGAGTTCTGGGGACTGAACCCAGGCCTGCAGCATGCAAAGCATGTGCTCAAACGCTGAATTATTGCTTGAGTTAACTGCCAAAAGAACCAAGTAAGGTAACACAATACACAGACTGGGAAATGAAGAGAAGCCAGAGAGAAAGTAAACTGTCCTACATTCCTCATCGTTCATAGCAGGAAGTCAACAATATTGATATAAAGAAACCAAGAGGGCTGGAGCAATAGTACAATGGGCAGGCCACTTGCGTTGCATGCTGCTGACCCCTGGAACCCCAGTGGTCCTCTGGGCCCACCAGGAGTGGCCCCTGACAGCAGAGCCGGAATAAGCCCTGAGCACTGTCGGGTGTCACTCAAAAGCAAAAAGAAATCAAGAAATTCTGGCACACATATACTGACAGCAACAGTGTGAACAAAAAATGAAAAAATAAAAAGCTACCCACCCTATATACAGAGAAACACAATTAAGTGTTTCTTAGCATTTTACCACTCTGTACTCTTTCTCTATTTTGTTTTGAAATCGAGACCATAGATCTAGGTGAACACTGGGTTATTTATAAACCCTTTCCCTCCCGTAGTGACCAGACAGGGGGATCGATCTACTTCCATGGCCCAGCCATTTTCTAGACGCTGGTATTAGTGACTGAGTTCACCTGACGGGGAATGGTGGGGTGAGGGGGAGCTTGTAACTTCTGTCTAAATACTAGGTATTTCTCAAATGACAAGAAAGGAAGAAGGGGATTTTCAACGCCAGAGATGGAATTAAATAGTGGAAGAACATCGGGGCCGGAGAGCTCTATCTTGCACACAGCTGCCCCGGATTCCACCCCATACTGTTCGTGGAGCCCCCAGAGCACCGCCAGGGG